AAAATACAATCGAGTTTTTGGATAAGCAGGCAAAACGCGCGATCCAAAAGGTACCGCGACATTTTCAAAAATGCCCCCCGCACTTATAAGCTGCCCCAAACAGGCCCTTAGAGTATAGAAAATTCATAGCTCTCAGCCATCCCTTCAGATTATAGAAAATTTTTGTTTTGTTTAAAGGTAGCTATTTATTGGATTACGATAGCTTATTCTCAGTCCGATAATCTAGTTCCGCTCTCCCTGCAGGAGCTTCTTGTTAGGAAAAAAGAGTAGTCTCGAGCAGGACTCTCAAGTTTAGTCGATTGACAACATCTACCAAGGGCTCTCCAGTTCAGCCAGCCAAGCCTTGGAGCAATCAGGTTCTGAGCCCATATGAAATACTAATAATAACATGTATATCTCCCATTAAAGCAATGACATAAATGTAACTTCATATGTTTTTACTATAAATAGTGGATCATTATATAAATAAAGGTAGAGGCGAACCCAAGTTGGGTCCATGAGAGCAATTTGTCCCCTTCAAAAAAAATTGTCAGTTACACTCATGAAAAAAATGTTGCACGCCTGACGTCTCTCTCAAATTGTTGTTCATTGTTGTGAATTTGTCTCTCTGTCTCTCTCTATTTTTCTCTTGTTTTATGTTATACATTGGGCGTGATTCATAGATAAATCAAGATTCAACACTATATTTCAATGACTCGGCTTACATTTATATTAAAAATAAGTTATTTAAATTTTGATGTTCCCTAATTTAAGGGGGAGATAAAACATTTAGGAAGTCATGTGACATCAGGTTGAGTGATATTTTTTTGGAAATATAATTGGAGGATTTACATACATACCACCCAATTCTTATTAATTTTCCTATCTAACACCTTAAATTTTAATATTACATATTATAAGCCTACAATTTATAGATAAGTGTTTTATACAACTATAGAAAGAATGAATTAGTTATGGAAAGCACTCTTAACATAATTGATGTTTGAATCCATTAGATGAATTTCATATCATACCAGTATTACAATTTCAATTTTAATATGACGGTAATGAGTTGTTTGACTTGCTGAAATTCGCCCGATTGAGACGACCGCGCCATGGGTTGTTGATCGACGCGTTCGGTTGAGTTTTGTTATCTTCTGTCGCGACAAAAATGATCAAGGGTTTTTGCTTGCGCTCTAGTCGGTCAGAATTATATACGTGGTCTGTTGTTCAGATCGCTTGTCATAGTGTGTCTAACGATGATTAATTACATGGTTGGTTGTGGGTTCAATTTTTTTGAGATGCATGTTGATGACTTTATTGTATGCAATAGGGAGAGTGATAGATGATATAATTGGGAAGATTTTGGATGGATGGATGGATGTACATCCTCCAATATAATTTTGTCAAAATTTTTAGATGGGTTTAAATGCAATTGCAGTCATTCCATTTCAGACTGGATTTATTTTTATTCAGTAAATATTTGTTTGACAAATATGAGTTATAAAGTAGAATATTTGAGGTAATAATTGGTCTTACTTTGCTGCCCGATCAGTACAACAATTGATGAAGTGGTAAGTGGGGACAGCAAATAGCATTTATTCCATCTATAAGTCTGACTCACACAATGCTTTTAATTCTTCTCTCCCGCTTTTATGATCATTATAGGTTATATTGCCGACTTGAATCAAACTGAGTTGAATTTAGGTATTTATTAGGATAATTATGTGTTCATGGGTTATGATCTCATAAATCATACATTTATTTGTGACTTTTTTTTTATTCTTATTACTAAGTTTATATCAATAATTGTGTGTTGAAATTAAATTTAGAGAGCAAAAAAAAAAAACAAAAAAAAAAAAAAAGATGCTTTGCTCAACTTTCAACTCATACGGTCAGCTTGCTCTTTAGACGACTGACTCCACCACAACGTGTGTTTTGCTCAACTTTCATAGCTAGGATTTACTTTAAGAAGACCAATCTACTCTTTAATTACAACAAGAGTAAATTATTGAGTCTCGCATTCAAGACCAGATTTGATAGCACATAGATGCTTGAGTTCATATCTACAAGTTTATATGAAAAGCCAAGGCTCACAATTAAAAATTATTCATGTGTTACTTGTAATTCAGGTTCAAATTGGATGGTTAGTTTGATTTCAACTCCATCCTCTAATGATCACAATTCCAACTTTAAATTAAAGTTATAAATGTTGCTTAAGTATAAGCGCAACCTTGAACACAATCTACTACAAACTTATGTTGCCATTGTATATTCTCCTCTTCATTGAGACATCTTCAAAGGAGTCTCACTAATGCACAATCTTCATCTAATTTATCCCTAGAAGAATGTTCATGAACTATTATTGTTTCAACAAAATTAGGTTTGATCAAACATAGTTTTTTAGTGATTAAATATTGAACACGTTTGAGAGTAAAAGACAATACTTTCTTTGTGAGAATTGACGACTTCAACATAATTTATTTTTAAACAACTTTAGAAAACACATGATAACAACAAAGTATTTTTTAGGCAAGCATATTTAACTATAATATTTATAAACCAATCGTAAAATACAATCATACTATAATTATTTATTTCTATAATCCTTAATATAGTTATTGAAATGGCCTAAACATTATGTGTGATGTATATATTTTAAGGAAGTGTTCGGTTGCAATTAGGACCTAAGTTAAATAGAATTTAGTAAATCCAGATGCTCTTAAATCCGGAATAGTGTTTGTTTCAGTTGAGTTAAACACTTAAATTTATTTGACATGTTTAGCTAAATTCATTAAATCTACCTAGTAGTTGGATTTACGTCTAAAAGAAAACAATTTTATATGAATAGATAATATAATAACTAATTAATAGGAAAATTGAAATGAAAATAAAATAGTTTATTTTGAGATTAGGTTAAAATTAGCTGAGAATTTATAGGATAAAACTTGAAGATAATTTTTTAAATTCTTTAATTTATTGTGAGATGAACTTGATTAAACTCAATGAAAATTAAAGCAAAATTAATGTTCATTCTTTTTATTTCTGAGTCAATATCATATTTAAGAAATTATTTTACTTTAATCTCAGTCATTTAAATAAATAGATTTAAATACCCACTTTTTCTTAAAACTTCTTAATCAACAGTTGATCACACAAAATCTTTTTTTTTTTTTTTTACTAATTTGTAGTTGCAACATTGCATCTCAACAAGGCTGATCCAACGAATCCATAGCTATTCAAAGTCACTCAATTATTAGTTTATATATGTATAAATTTAAATAATAATGTCTAGAATATCCTCTTCAAGAATCTATTCTAATAAAAATATCGTGATTCTATGTATATAGGGAAATCCCAAAAATTTCAGAGTTGAGAATTCCGAAGCCTAACCGTCAACAACGGACTAATTGTTGAGCAACACAAACACATATCATCGGAAAACATGGATGCCCTTTGTCGTTCATTGTCAACCAATATTGATGTTTGTTGACGACTAAAGTCAAGCTGATTACTTCTATTTGACGCCAGCCTTCCTTGTTATTTAGTCTCCTTTTTCTGTGAGGACATTACTACACTACCCGATATGTTTTGTTATCATCACCCGAACTATCAACTCTCAATCACCAACATGTATTATCAGCATTTTTTATCATCAATCTCCTCACTTAAAAGGAGAAAAATTAAGCAAATATTCCCAATCAAGTTTTTTCTAACATCTGCCATTTAGTCTCCAATATTCCCTTATACAAGAAAAGACAATTGAGCAATCAAACCAATATCAATCAATTTCTAATAAGTAACAATATCATTTGATTGCCATTAAATGTACTTATGTCAATATCAATGTTTATCACCCAAAAACATCCAACAACTAACTTCAAACTAGTCAATTTCCCCTTCTAACAAAACAGAATGATCGAACCAGATTGGGAATTTGTCAACCTTTATCCAGTAACTAATATTCCCAATTGACCATAGTTTGAGATTGGCTTCATTAGACACCAACATTTGAGACTCACCTTCCTAAAAACTAATGGTGATATGCTCGATGTTCCCATTCAACTGACATCTAATATCCACCTTTCTATTCCCTAGTCTCCCATCTTGAAAAAAAAAAAAAAAAAAAATCAACCTACCAGAGCCCCGGCCATTGCTTCATATCTGACATTCCCAGTCAACCAACACTTGATACAGAACAATGACGGACAATTGATCTCTCTTAAATACTGACATCTAAAGACCTTCTTCTCAACGGCCTAGACTATCATCTCATCGCCTCATGACTCGTGACAACTACAGCAATTACAACATGGAAAATATTTTCAAAAGTTCATGTATAATATATTATATTTGTGAAGAAAACAGAAGAAGAGAGAAGAAGGAAGACAGGGACAGAGGAGAGCTTGAAGAAAAGCCAAGTAAATCTTTTTATTTATTAACAGCCATGCCACTAGATATGTAACCATTGGATTATTTGTAAGTAGCTCAATGGCAGACTTGTAAATAAACCAGGGACAATATGCATAAATCTAAATTCTAATATAAAAGCCAACATTTGTGCAGCCAACAAACACTGTGAGACGCGAGAGAACCGCAGGAATGGGAGAACACAGCGAGACATGGATCTACAGGTAGCAGCCTAATCTTGAAGATAGACCGGTAAGTATCCTTTTAATATTAATGCTTCCTCCAATTAGAACAAATAGTATCATTATAATATATGATTTACACAAATAGAACCATTTCAGCTTGTTGAAATATATAATGGTTTTCATCCTAAAATTTGTTATGCAAAAATTATCGTTAAATACTAAGGGAATAAACTCTGACCACCGTTGACAACATTGCAGCACGCAACAGGTAGAAAACAAGCAAACAATAACTTCATGAAAGCCTGATCAGCAGTATCATGTAACTTACAAAGTACAACATTTGAGAAATAAGAGATGAAGAAGATAGAAAAAGAAGTTACAAGAAGGAGCATTCATCACTCTAACAACTGACAAGCACAGAGATCTCAAATACAGGCGTATGATCTGCAAAAGTCAGTCATTAACAAGAATGTGGAAAATTAATTAATCTTACAGGAAACTCAGAGAACTCAAATGCATCACTTATCAATTTGTCCTAATTTGCCAAGCCCATTGCATCGAGGACAAACAATTTGAGCTTGATCCTTCCTTGCCGCATTCGCTCGAAGTGGTGCACCTGCTTGCCTGATGAATCCCGCCCCATCACATTCTGGACATCTGCAATACATAGCACAAAAACACCATTTTTTTTTCAAACACTTACAAATTCTGCATCTTTGAATGTTACCAGATATGTTAGCAGATGGGAGATAGAAAGATTGATGAGATTACAAGTCCTTGCGGGCGAAAAATATGGGAAACGCAGTCCCAATGAGCGCCACTGCGGCGGCGCCGGCAAACAGATATATGCTGCTGTCAGCTGACACATCCCCGACAGCAGACACGCTCACAACCCTGGAGAAGGATCGTCTGTTTGGGGGACTAAATCCGATGCATGGTGGTTTTGGAGACATTGGTGGCGATGCGGCGGTCGGCCGTTGAGCTGTTGCAGGTGATACAAGTTGGAGAGGAGAAATGGAAGAAGCCATTGCTATGTTTTGAGATTATGGCATCCAAGAAACTGCAGATCATCTATGGGTGTGGAGGTGAAACGAGTGGCGATGAGATGGATAAGAACACGTCAGAAGGGATAAGATTAGGACCCAACTAATTGAATCTGATGTGAACGTTGATATTTGAAAGACTCGCCCTTTTATCCTGCTAGTCTACTTTAGCTGACAGTGAAACTTTTTAAATGTATGCGGTCAATTTAGCTCGTGCGTGAACAGCTCGTGTTCGGCTCGTTAAGTAGCGTGTGTTCGGCTCGTTCGTTAAGCCTATCGAGCCGAACACGAATAACAGTTTGTTTGCTCGGTATATAACTTTTTATATAATAATATATTACATATATTATTTATATAATAATATATTATATATATTTATATCTAAGTTTAAATCATGACACCTCCTGCGGCAATGTAGTTAGTGTTTTCTTTTGTATAGATTTGATCCAGGTTCGAATCTCACACTTTACATCTTTTTTTCTCAATTTTAGTTTAAGGAGCCAATTTCAAGCCGAATACGAGCCTGAACACGAACACGACGAATATTTAAATTGAGCCGAACACGAACACACAGTTCACGAGCCTATTTTGAACACAAGCCGATTTTGAACACGAGCTACTTCGAAAGAGCAGAACACGAGCCAAGGCTGAGCTCTGTCTCATTTACAGCCCTAGTACAGCCTATAAAGAGTTTAAAAAGGAAGATTTGCAAACAGACCACTCAATTCTAATGTATTTACATATCCAAGACCTAAGCTTCACTTTTTACATTCTCGAGTAACTGTTAAATTAGAACTAAATTAACCTCCAAGGATTAGATCAATAGACGTGAGAAAAAAAGTCTCTTTGGAAGGGAAAAAAGGCTAAACACCTGATGCAGCACAAAATTATAAATCTTAAATCCGACTCAAAATATTTGGAATAATATTGATGACAAACAACTCATCTTCTGAGCTGGAACTGAAATGAAGATGTGAAATATAGCACATCCAAAAGGACTTGGCGAGTATTGGGTTTCATTCTGCTTAGCTAATTGAATGGCAAGACTGTAGCCTTATTAGGCCCACAATGCTTATGATACTTTCTTCGTGAAGAAAAATATGAAAAATGGTCAATCACAGGCAGTTGTTAATTTCAAATTTGAATTGATGCCGAGAATATGTTCCCACTCATGGAAAAGACTCAGTTTGATCCATCACCAGTTGGTTGCTGGTTAAAGAATGTGCGCTCAAAATTTGCAACCAGATGAGTTATCCTCCGGCATCAAAAAAGGAATGTGAGAGGTTCATTTTAAGCTTATAACAAGAAAATTTTACAAATAAAACCCTTTATTTATACCAACATCAATGGAACATGCTCAAGCTACACTAGTGAGTCACACAACATCAAGCTCACTAGTGTAGACTTCAGCTACTTCCCCTACTTTCATGCGGGGTCTACCCCTGTTAGACTTCAGCTCACAGCTGTGTCCCAGCCTTGGGTGGCTTTCATTGAGGTCTCCTTCTTCTTCCCTTGTGGCCACAAATTGATTCTGAGACTAATCATCTTCCTTCCTCTTCGATGGTTGGGTTTTCACCAGTCATCCCCTTCTCTCATTCGCAATGTTGTTCATGGCTCAAATATTGTGGGGGCTAGTTAGCTTCTTCCACCAACAATTCTCCACTTTTCTTCCATCAAAATTCAGAAAGCACGAACATCCCACATTTCAAAACAAGCCTGCCCTTCTCTTTTCTGATGAGGAGATTTATGTGTTTGCCACATCTTACACTCTCACTTAAATGGCAGTATGTGTTATCCTAGAATTCTTGGCTAATTTGCAACTGATAAGTGAGACTAATCTCACTAATCCTTGAACACTTTCTTTAGAGGCAGATTTCGTCAGTTATTTTTGCGGCTTTCATACAGTATAAACAGCCATTGGTTATGCAAGTTAAAATATTCCCCTCATTTGATTTTTCTATGGAGCCTCCTATTACTTCAATGTGGATATCATTTCCATAGCATCATTTGTACTACTTCAACCAGTCTACTCATTCTCTTTGGCATTTACTTTTAGAAAAATTTTACAGGTAGATCTACAAGAACTCATTTTACTAGCGCCTCGGTGGCTTAAGTATTGATGGAATTGGATGTCATTGCCTTCTTTCATAAGGACTATGAATTGGGCCTACGTATTTTTTAAAATGTTGAAAATAAGAAAATAATTAAAAAATAAAAATGTACTTTTCAATGAAATAGCAGAGTACAGAACAAGTAGTTATCAAAAGAAGACCTACACTCTAGAAGAAGTTGAATTGAAGGAGTCCATTAAATTGATTAAAGACGATAGAATAATCAAATGCAGTCTCAGCACACATTGTTGAGATAAAAGTCAGAAGATTATAAAGAGTTTCAAATCCTTTTAAATGTTATATAATTTTCGATTTTGCTTACTGAACTTGAACATTATGAAGAATCTGTTTATATTAAAGGTACAACTGAGTGAGATATAGCAAAGAAAGAAAAGATGGATTTTTCAAAAAACTAAGAAGACATCACTAAAAATTTCTCATTTGGTTAACTTAATAATGAGAACAAACCCAAAAAGGTACCTGTTGAATCCAGATGTCTATTGAATCCAGATGTCTGGGAAGTACACCAAAGAAATTGAAGTGTTTTAACCAAGAGAAAATGAGAGAAAGCGAGAGAGAGGGCGAGAGTTGAGAGAGGAGTGCATAGTGGCTTGCCCCTCTAGCACAAATTGGGATATTTTCGGACTCTTAAGACCCTTTTTTATATAATCGAATATTTTTTAATATGAAGAGGGGGAAAAGCCAAAAGTCCTGCTACATGAAAAGTTTCTCTATCTATAGGAGAGGGAATGCAACGAGGAAAATTAAATTTCTAAACTTGTTTTAAGGTGTGTTGTACAAGTTATCTAGGTAGTATATACCCCTGTGGGCCCAGGGCCTTGTTTTCCTTTGGCTCAATCGATTGGAGCCGAAGAGGCGAAATGATTAGTGTTGTCGGTCAGCCAGTTGGATGGGGACTATCGGTCGGTCAATCCTTTAGGTAAGGGTGGCCGGCTGGACTACTAAAGATAGTTGGCGAGACTAATCTGGTCTGCTGATATTAGCCGGCCGAATGCATTAGAGAGGTCGTCAATCCTCAATTTCTGCAGGGAGAATTCTTGTCGGCCGAGTAAACTTAAGTGTTGGGCAGAGGATGATTTGGGACAGTATTGTTGAGAAGGTCTATGGTTAGCATCAATCGATTTATTCTCCTAGGTCGTGGGTCGCTTTCCAATGTGTCCAACTTTGTTATGACATTTTTTATTGAACTATTAGATTGCCTCGAGATTTGTGTTGACACATTTTTTGTATACAATACCTAAATTTAGAAAGGTTATTTTAATCTCATATTATTGATCACGTTCAATTTAGTCCTTCAACTCTTCAAAATTGATCCAAATTAACCTCACCATTAAAATTATTGTGTAAATTGGATGTAAAGTTTACAGGGGAAATATTGCTTGAAAGTTAAATCAATCCAATTTCATACAATTTGATATAAAATTTCAATTTTTGTAATTGTTACTAAAGCACTTAATATAATATTTTATTTTTAAATTTTGATCAAATTCAACCCTTCATAATAGTGAGGTTGTCATCGTTGAGTAGCTGCCACCAAAGTAGATAAACGTTTATCAGACACTATCCATATAAGAAGCATATATTTTGTCATTATCGCCATTCTCTGTCCATTGTTCATCACGAACTATGATATACATTCTTCATGTGTGTTTGTCAATGAACTCTAATGTTAACAGAGATTCCTTGAGTATATATGTTCATATTGCATTATGCAAAACAAATGAGATTAGAATGGAAGAATATTTGAGGATTTAGATTCGGATCCATTTGTGAAAGAACAAAGTGAATGGAATGAGAAAGATATTTCATTTTGTTAAGACTAAGCCACCCTTGAAAGAAAAAAAAAGAGAAAGGATGATGATAAGAGCGAGAAAGTAAAATGGGATTTTTTATTGGGAATAGAAGGACTTCAAATCTCACAACTAAAATTTTGGATTTTCTCATTATCATTTCCAATTGTTGTCGGTATTAATGTGTAAAATAGGACTCTCTTCATCTCTTCTCGCCTTTCTCGTCCAACAACAAAACTTGGTTAAGAAATAAAATTAGGAATTAAGATTGAAGGGAAAAAAAAAAAAGCAAAATGATGTGGAAAATGCTAAAGATGGCTATTCCCTATAACCCCACCTCTTCCTTGAAGTTTCGTCTTATGGTGTAGCTAGTTTAGATCAATTCTCAAAAGTTAAGAAACTAAATTGAGCAGAGTCAATAATCTAAAACAAAAATAACCCCTCACAAAAAATCCAGGAGCAATTTTTGACTTTTCTCGATTAGCAGGTATATAGTTGGTATTTAGCATTATAACGATATATGACTTGATCCTAAATCTAATAAATATTGATACTATTTTTCTCCACGGCCATCTGAAAGAAGAAATTTCTGTGTCTGAAGGCTTCATATACAAGGAAATGAAATATCATCTACATACTAATCTCAACAAAAATAGCACCTAGACAATAACAAAGCCAACAAATGATTAAAAGCCCAACAAAATAAATGGATCCATAAAATAAAAAAAGACAATAACAACAAAAAGTACTATATGAGATTAGTTGTGCAGGAATTAAAACTAAAGCCATTGACTTCACGATTGACAACTTAAGAAGATGACTTCGCAAACATCTGGCTTACCTGCATTGACAGACATCTCCGATTTCTTACGGGCATCCTCATCCATGATCGGAAGCATTTTCCCTGTTGGCTTGTGAAGAGAAGAGGAAAATCTCTTCAATTATTGACTGAATATAGAAGGCTACATATAATCATACAAAATGAGCTCCAACGAAAATATACAGCATTCCCTATTTTTTGCATCTCTGGAAATGTAGAATTGCGCATATAAAAGTAAAAATTTTCAAAACAAACGGAGGATGAAACCATTTTCTGCCTCATAACAAAAAGCAATGCAGACAATCCAAAATAATTTTTTTTGGATGGCCTTCTGCACATTTCAACATTTTCACCTCAACAAAGAAAAGTAATATTATTCACCTTAATTGCCACCACAGTGCTCATTTAAATTAATCTTTAGATAATAGGCACCTTTTGAAATTAATAGCCATGCGTCTTTTCCACCAATGCACCAATCAGACCAACTCTTTCCATAAAATGCAAATGATTGGCATCATTATTCTATAATTTAATTAAAAAACAGTGGAGAAAAGAATAAGAAATAATCAACAGACAGGCATCATCATTATGACAAAAAAAATTAGTAATTTCTTCAATCAATACAGAGCCAGCATTCCATATATTTGTTTCTATGAACATGAGAAAGAGAATAGTTCACTATAAACAACTGTAACAGAAAGCCAGGGTGAATTTATTCAAAATAAAGAACGCCTCTAGCTGCTGCTGCTACTTTTAAACCTGTATGAGGACATAGAAACAATATTGAATTGTATAAATTAATACAGAACACAATTTTTGTTAAGGAAGTTCAACTAACCTGGCACCACCTCTATAATTCTAACTTCCCCCTAAGCCTTGACCAAGAAAACAAAAATTAACTAAACAATAAAGTAAGCTCCACCACGAGGAAAACACACTGGCAGCATGATGATGAGTAACAATATTATCTGATAATTCAAAGAGAAATGAAATAAAAAAGGAATTTTGCTACCAGTTTCTTATCTGTTTTGCAGAGAAAAGATCGTGACCATTAACGGCCCACATGAAAACAGATTCCTCAATGTCTGGACAAGCTACATGCCTTTCCAAATCATTAACACTACAGTAAAGAAGCAGTGCTGCCCCCATTTGGGTTTAGTTAAAGGGAATGAAAAGACAAGTCCTCTTTCAGAAAGGAGATTCCAGATAACATAAGGGAATGCTCCTGCAAACAGTTTTTTTAAATGACGGCAAAAGCAATAATTAACGCTGCTTTTCTTCCCATCATACAACATCAATAACAACATCTAGATAGATTGATTACTCTTAATCTACATGGATAACGCTAATGCGCATACCACATCTAAAAAACTGCATCATATTACCCAATGAGTAACAAAAGAAATAGCAAGACAGATTAGAGTTAAGAGAGAGCAATAGGTGAAGAAAGAAAGAACAAATCTCTCTGTCACAGTCTCTGTTTCCTTTCTAAAACATTTTTTTACTTACTCCATCTCTCACTTCCTAAAACAACGCTCTCTCTAATTTTGTTAGACTGAACATTCTGTTGACCGACATTTATCAAATATTTACTCTTCAATGCTCAATTAAAAACATGAAACTCATAAAAGATTGCTAGAACACACGATCCAATTCAGCCACAAAACAAATTTGGGGCATTTACATAACACCACACAATGCTTATATATATACATATGTAACATCTTAACTTTCATATTTGCATGCATAGCACTCAAAGCGTCAACATCAAATCAAAAATATCCCTATAACTGACACTTTAAAAGTGAAATACAGCTTTTCATAAATGTAAATACCAAAGTATAGGTATTAGATATGTAAATACATAAGAATTGTGTTGTATGTACGCGAATTTCCACTCAGCATCAACAAAAAAAAAATTAAGATACAAAACAATTGAGGAAATCACGCCATCATCCATAACAGTTCAATTCATCAGCAGTGTGACAACAGCCGAACTCAATTATAAATTACTGAAGAGCAACACAGAAATTGATTGCATGAATTCCTTTGATTAAAATGAGATGAATTATAAAACTCAAAATGAAAAAGAAGAAAAGTTGATTCAACCTTGAGAGTTAGAGAAACATCATTAGTTTTGCATTGTATTTTTAAAACTAATAACAATATTAGATAATGAACAGGCTATTAAAATATTATTTTATTTATATTAAGAAATAATAAATAATTTCAATTTGCTAAAAGAAACTCACCAATAAGAGAGGTTAATTCACAATGAATGAATTCCAGAACATAAATATCATAAAATCAAAATGCACTTCCAGAAAAAATGCTCCTGAAATGGAATTCATTACTTCTCAATATTTATACTAAGGAAATCGGCCCATGTGCTTGACATATAAGGGATAGTTGCAATACCTTCTTGCCTTCTCTAACTGAGAAGCAGGAAGAAGCTTCTTCACCAGCACAAAGCAAAATTTGTAAAAGAATAGGCCTGCAACCCCATAACTCTTTTCAATAACCTTTCTATTTACATTGCTTTATAAAGATTAAACGACAAGCATTCTACAGCTATTACAATGATTCCCCTCCCTAAATGAGACGGAGCAAAAAACTCCATTGATTATAACATCTAATAGATAAAGCTTAAAACAAAGAAGAAATTATCCTCTTTTTTGTTGTTTCTTCCTCTCTCTTTACTAACAAACCCATTTACTGCCTAACGGAAGGAAGGCCGCTGTTAAACCTAAACACTCTGTTTCTCTGGTGCCTTTCTGAAATTGCAGATACAGAGTCTGAACTTGATAGTGCAGAAGAGGGAGATGATCGAGAAGACGGGGATGATCGTCTTCTCCTAAAGAAAGAGAAGAAATTGCGAAACACCCTGCCAATTCCCCCTCTTTGCTGATCCCTTCTCTCACCCTCAGTCCAAGATATCCTCCTCGGTGCACCACTGGAATTGAAGCCGCCGTCCATCTCAGTGTACACAACCGGAAGATGGCGTTCCCCCGGACTCACGCTGCTGGAGAACCTCCCAACCGCAAACCCACCACCCGGAAGCCTCCAAATGGTAAGGCCCACGGTCTCATCTTCACTGACCGTAGCAGCACTCCTATCATCCACTTCAGTCTCCGCCGCCCCACCGCCCCTTTGATCCGTCGGCATCTGGTGCCGGCATATCGGGCAGGAATTTCGTAGCGCGAGCCATGGCAAGATGCAATCTTGATGGTAAAGATGCTTACAGGGCATCTCCCTCGCTTCCAAACCGATCTCAAGCGCCTCCATGCACACGGCACAGTGGTAATCCGTTCCAACATGAGAGGCAGAAATCTCCACCGTTGGCATGGATTCGATGGCTGCTTTAGATGCAGGTGGATGCTCAAATCTGCGACCAGCGAGACCGTTGATCTCGATCTGGGCAAGCTGATCAAGAAGCCGCTCGAATCCAGAACCCATCAGAAACTCTGACATGGTAGGCGGAAGCGGCCGTAAACCAGATCCGGCCCCATCGTCGTAGTACAGCTCGAAACGATCTGCGTCCCGACCTCCACCACCATCAGCGGGACCGCGAAGGACGATGACAGGATTGAAGGGGGAGCGATCTCCAACCCCGGCGCGTCGGTGGCGACGAATCCTAGGTGTTGCCGGAGATGCTTCGTCAGCTCCAAGCCGATACTGGCGAGCAAGGCGTGGCGGGGGGGAGACCTCTTCGAGGAAACCGCCATCACAATCCGGGCAGACGATCGAATCCTGCGGCCACGCCCTGACCAAGCGGCTGCACCGGTAGCACCAGTATGAGGATGCAGTAGACATTGCCCACGTTTAATATACCAACAGCAGATAGCCGATCTACGATCTATAGAACCTCCAGCTACAAAGACGAAAACTTTTTCCCAATTTTGTGAAAGAAAGTTGCCGAATTTCTTGATGTTTACAAAAAGAACGAATCCTCAAAATAAATTTCTTTCAATGAATTAGCAGCCCACGGGGATCGGCGGGGGTCGAAGACGATGAGAAAGCCGAATTCACGAAGCCCTAGCCATAGAGAAGGGGAGGGGAGATCGTCGAAGATGAAGCCGTGCGGCGACAGGTTCCTAGAAGTCACCTGTCGGTTCGCGGAACCGGAGAGAAGAAGATTGGGTAATGGTGGAGATGTGAAATGAAGGGCCAGGGGTTCTTAATCCATTGACGAGGAGAAACGCGTCGGCTAGCTGGCGTGGTAACGACGCAAAATATTAAGTCGACGGCGTTTATACGTGCCGCTTTTTTAGTGATACAAGATTAGACGGAGATAACGGCAGCGTTAAAACCTGGTCCCACTCTCATCAGAAGGATGGATCGGGCCGCCTTCCCTTCACAATCCATGAAGAATTTTCTGAATGGCACAGTCGTAATTTCAGCCACCTGGAGCTTTTACACTTTTCCAAGCTTTCCAGACTGGCTCGCTGCGTTATACACTAATACTTTCGTTATAGAACAGGAACTTTAGTTGGCGTTTTTTTTATTTTGAAATAAAAAATAAAAAAAATATTAACAAGAGGTTATTAAAATCAAATTCCAAAGAGTTGTTAATAAAAGATAAAAACATTGCAAAATGAGTGTCAACTATTATCACTATGATGTGTTAGGTATGACACATATACCAAAAAATTTGGAGTATTTTGAAATGAAAAGATGTATCTCCTGTAATGAAAAAAAGTGTCTCTTGGTGTGAAGAGGTGTATCTCTTGGATTAGTGGGTTAGGGAGAGTGATAGCGTGTTTGTAAATTTATATGTGGGTTTTATCTATAAATAGATGTGTAATCCTATGAGTATGTAACTCCTCTTAAATAGTAAAATTCGCCGCTTTGTTCCAGAGGAAGTAGGCATCTTTGCCGAACCTCATTAAATCTCTGTGTTCTTCTTCTGGATTTGTGTTGTTTTTGCCCTAAATTTCATAACAACTGGTATCAGAGCAATGTTAGGTTCTAGGGCGGAGGAGATTGACGCGGGAACAAGGAAGAAGGAAGAGGATCGTGTTGAATTGGAACATAGGAGTTCACAGTACGCAGAAGAGCAGAGCAGTTCGCGACAGTTTTAGCATAGGCGAAAACGAAGGTTCTTCGGTTTCAGCGAGGAGCTTCGCAGTCAGAAATCACAGAGGAGTGCTAGGGTTCTCGAATCGTAGACGTGAGGAAGAGTTCGGGGCTGCGGCAGTTTCGCGCGGGCATTCGAGCGGGAGTTCGCAAGGTTTTGCCGTGGGAGGAGTTCTCCGCCTGCGAAATCGCTCAGAAGGAAAGAAGAGAGAGAATCTTCAGAAGGCCGCCGAGAAGGCAGACGGACTCGCGGGAAAGAACAGGTGCGAAACAGTTTAGGAAAGAAGTGTGGCAGTTCGCGGAGCAGATCAAACCCGTGAATAGGCTTGAACAGGAGCAGTTTGTCGGGTGTTCGCAGACAGTAGAGCAGGAGTTCGCAGAGGTTCTGCCGGGGCGTTCGCACATGGAGTTCGCGCGCCAGAGGAATTTGATTTCTTTTTGCGTACCAGAGGAGTTGCGGGTTTCGACCATGAGACAGACAATTCACGCCGCAGGCAGGTTCATGAGCAGAAGCCTCGTTTTGCGAATGGAGGAACAGAGGAGTTCGGCTAGCGAAGTTCGCAAGTTTGTTGTAGGAGGAATTGAGACATGTAGAATTCGGTCAGCACTATTCGCAAGTTTATCGCAGGAGGAGTTGCGAAAGGTAGAGTTCGGCTAGAGGAGTTCGTAAGTTCGTCGCATGAGAAATTGCAACAGGTGGAGTTCGCGAATTTCGTGGATTGTTTGCAAGTTTGTCGCAAGATAGATTGTGACAGGTGGAGTTCGACTGGTTTTCACAGTATTTCAGTTGAATTTTTGTGCGAACAGAAAATGTGTTTCGTGTGGAAAATTTGATTCACGAATCACATGAAACTGAGGGAAATTTGTTACAATTGATAGAGGAAATTTCAGATTTATTTGAATTTATTTGTAGTATGTTTTGTTTCAATATAAGACAGGAAAAGTTCATTGCAGGATTAATTTCAAATGACAATGTCTGGTACAACATTCGAGATAATGAAGTTCAATGAAACAGGGAACTTCGGATTGTGACAAACAATGGTGAAAGATTTGTTGCCACAACAAGAAATTTTGAAGACATTGCGAGCTATGAAACCTAAAGGTAATATTTATAAACTATTGGGGAGTACAGTTGTAGGTAGAGTTCACTCTGTCAGATCATATGATGAAAATACAGCAGAAAAGTTAACCAAACCAGATATTTTCAACAAGTTCTTGTGTTACTTGGACTTGTTAAATGTTTGCAATTGCTAGTTGACATGGTTGTCCAACCCACTTTGGTGTAAGAAAATGCATGATGTTTTTCTCATAAGGGGTTGGATATTCACTAAAGTGGAGAATTGTTATGTATGACTCATATATCAAGAAATTTGAAGTATCTTGAAATGGAGAGATGTGTCTTCTAGAATAAAAAGAAGTGTTTCTTGGTGTGAAGAGGTGTGTCTCTTGGATTAGTGAGTTGGGGGGAGCGTGGGCGTATTTGTAAATTTATCTGTGGGTTTTATCTATAAATATATGTTTAACCCTATGAGTATGTAACTTCTCTGAAATAGTGAAATTCGTCGCTCTGCTCCAGAGAATGTAGGCATTTTTGCCGAACCTCGTTAAATTATCGTGTTCTTCTTCTGGATTTACATTGTTTTCGCCCTAAATTTCACAACATGATGCTCATCTTTGATGCCTGAATGAGAAAATCAAATCTCAAATGTCGAGTGGGGCTTATAATCATGGATTGACAAAACTTGCATAGATAGGCTAAGCTGTTCATTTGAGGGGAATGAATATAATCATATTGACATAGGAAAAATATTACATCAGGGCTCCTAACGTAGAGCTACGTTCGGATTGGAATATTCAGCTATGTTACAGGATTATTTCATCTAGTTATTTATAAAAATGATATGTTATTCAAGTATTATATGGTGTTATTTGATTTTGCAACATTATTAGAATATTTCACTGCGTTACTTGATATGGGGCAGAAGTGTTATTGGAATATTCTCTCGCATTACTTGATTTGGGATTGTGTTATTCCAATAACATAGTAGAAATTGAAATAACACAGCCTCAAATCAAGTAACGCAAGGAAATATTTCAATAACCCCTCAAAATAATCGAATAATATCATATAATACTCGAATATCACAACATTTTTACATATAACACAGATGGAATATTCCCATAACACAGCCGGATATTCCAATCCGAACATAGCTCTGCGTTAGGGGTTCTGATGTAATATTTTTCCTATTGACATGTGGGCTTGATTCAACCACTTCGACGAGTGGATTTGATTCAATTACTTCGATATATGGGCTTAATTCAGTCACACAGTATGTGGGCCTCATTTAGTAAAATAAATAAATAAAGTTTTTATGTAATCATATTTGTGTATACATATTCTATAGATCATACTATATACAAAAAAATATATTAGCATGAATCTCAAGATAAGAATGACGAATGAAAGATTGATCAAACGATCGTGGATGGAGAATCAGACGATCGGTCGACAATCTCAGGACATAAAAGTTCCCAGAAGCGAAGCATAAGGATCAAGTTGTCTGAAGATACAGTGATCGGTCCATAGTGAGCCGATCAAACCACGATGTAACGATCGACTGGAAGACAATGTGACAAATCAAGAAAGACTGATCGTTGGGAGCCACCAACCGCCAATTCACATACTAGTCGGATGTGTCCACTTGTGATTTAATATATTTGACATATGTAATGTACTAAAAGAGCCCCCTCATATGTCTATAAATATGGATCATTTTCAGAATAAAATGGTTACGCATTTTCTATTATTCGTTGTCATCTTTCTTCCGACTTGTTTCATGTGTTACACACTATACATTGGGCGATACATTGGGCGTGCTACCCGGACATTTTTTAATTCAACAAATACATTAGTGATAGCAATTGGATGCTTAGCAATAAGAGATAGTAGTCAAGAAAATTGAAATATGATAATTGTGAGACAATAATTAGATAATAGAAAGCACGTGGTAATAGTTAAATTTTAAGAGTCTGGTGATGACAGATGGATAACAATGAAAGAGCAATAGCAGTAGAACAATGAGAATTGAATGACAATGATTAATAGTGATGATCATCATAATTGGTTGTTGGATAAAGATTTAAATCTCCTCAAATGTATAAGCTCTCGCTAATTTCAAATTTTAAATACCTCAATGTAAAAGACAAGAGTCTATTTGTAAGTTTTAAAGTGATATATTTATTTATTTTGCCTAAAGATTTTGAAAACTCCAGTGAATGATTTTAGTTATTTTCATTGATTATAGAAGCATTTGTTGATTCAATAAACAATATGAATGGAATTAATATTTGATTAAAATTATTTAAGATATTTTGGCTATATTTAGTAGCATCATTTAAGGATGATTTATTCATATATTTAGCGTAAATCCAATCAAACATAAAAACAAAAATAAATATAAATTTAATGCTCCTTTAAATAACAAATTTTTACTTTCTATTGTTTCTTCCCTCGTTTCATCTCTTTTAAGACTGTTGGATCCCGCATTGTCTTTTTTGAGCACACCTCCAAAGTTAGAGCGAAGTGAAGGAGAGAAGGAGGGGAAAAAGTGGAGTAAGCCTAGAATTCCTTGTCGCAAGAGTCCCATCCCAGGACACCTTTATTTTGTATTTTTGTTTCCTATTTTATGGGGATGCATTTTGTACAAGTACAGAAATAATGGAACATTTACAGAAATTGTTCTTAATGTGATTAAAACAGTAATTATTTGTATGGATTTTCGTCATATTTGCATTACAATTTAAATTTCAATTATGACGATGATCGGTTGACCAACCAGCTTGACGTCGGTCGACTAAGATGACCAATGAGAGGCAATTGTGCCTTGCAACGTACGTGTTGGCCAGTCGAGGTGCATGGCCGCACAATGATCTCGTGCATCATGGATCAGTGAGTATGTTGCGGTTAGGCACTCATACTGGTCCAAGTCGATCGAGACCACACGCGTGGTTCACCGTTAGAGTCTCTAACCGCGAGCGACCAATCGATTTTTTTTCTGTCGAGACGGTGGTAGGATGGTAGGACTCTCTGTC